AGGAACAGAATGAGACCCTCTGTTCATTATACTTAGTAATAGACTACATAACTTTTAAAAATAGTGTTATAATAAAAGAAATTCTGTTTCTGTTCAGTACTGTAAGTGTACATGCATAGCTTTTTCCCCTCTATGAGCTCATTGCTTAACATGTTGCCAAACTTACAATTAATTTTAAATCCATGGAGTGTGTAAGTTTTCTCAGTTTTCTTTTCAGTGGATTATACAAGGTCTGTTTGAAGAATCTCTAAATCTCATTAAGAGTGCACCATAATATTCTCGTACAAACAGCAGCCTACCATGAGAATGTGCATTTGGTCTGGTAGGGAGGTTATATATTCTTTTGGATACACAGGAAATAACATTTCTCACTAAAAACATAAAACCAGTTGTGGCCTCTCCAAGCTGTGTGATAAAGACTATCTCATAGGTGTTCCTGTCTCAACTAAATTCCCACTTTGTTTAGGTTTCTAAAGAAAACTCTAGTGTTTTGCAGTGACCTTGCAGCTACTCTATCATTGTTTATGGCAGGTGACTTTGTTTGCAAATTCCATTTCATAAAGGGCAGAAATATTGATCCCACATTCAACCCTTAATAAAAATTCTGTTGTGTTCCTCATGAATCCTCAATATCAAGAGTGAGTGTGAATACACTTTATCAGTGAAGCTTTTGTCACAGAGATTTTTTATGACTTTTAGTTGATACATAGATTGTTAGACTGCGGTCCATCACCGCATCTGTACTTTTCTCATTCAGCTTGTTACTAACAAACAAGAAACCTTCACCTCTTCATACAAGAGAAATCTGAACATAGGGGAGGACAGAGATTTTTGCAATGTGATTAAATATAAAAAGTAACAGGAAGGGCTGGACCTTTTGAAATAATTCATTTGATAAGAAGGGTTAGAGTCATGAAATTGTGTGGCTTATGCCCAAGACACAAAGAAGTTTAGTAAACTGCAGAAAACTTCTTGGTCAAAAGAAAATACAAAGCTGGATGGAATACTATGCTAATTCATATTTTCTTATGAACTTTTCAGATGTATTATAGCTTCGAGTTTCATCCAGGGGTAGCATAATTTTTCCAAATGCATATCTGAGTATATGCATTTGTAAATCATGATGTAAACTGCATTATGGTTGACAAGGAAATGTCCTTTATAAAACGTTGAACAGCACAAGTATAAAACAAGCTTTTCATGAAGTCACGACTAGGCCAGCAACCCTACTGTTTTTTCCAGGGTTTGAAAAGGGAACTGTTTAAAGTAATGGTCTTACCGTATGGGAAGAAATAATATTGAAAATCCCTGTGTTCCTCAGGGGCAAAAAATATTAAAAGTAGCCTATTCCCATTTGTATACTTCATACTAATATTTTGGAATTTTCCAACTATGGCAGAAATTCTATACAGGACTGTAAATTCAGAGAGTGTGTCTCATTCATCATCCTCTTCTGTCAATCCGAGAAAAATTTTAGCTTTCCAACAAGTGCTATAATTCCTATAAGACTGAGTATGCTGTCTGTTCAGATAGGAGTACTGCTATTAGATGCCCCTCTCATCTTTCCTCATGCTGGCTTAGCAAGTCCAGTTCCCTCAGTGTCTTCTCATATGTCAGGCACCAGTCCTGCTTGGAAACTTTAATGACCCTGACATCTGCTTGAGAAGCAGCACAGCAAGCTGTATGTAGTCCAGGAGGCTCTTGGTGCTCACTGAGGATAATTTCTTGATCCAGGTGAGAGCCTAACCAGAGGGGAAACATTACTGGACCTATTGCTTACCAACACAAATGAAGTAATTGGTGAGGTCAAGACTGATGGCAGCCTGGGCTGACTGATCATGCCCTGGTGGAACTCATGATCTTGAGAGATATGGGCCAGGTGAAGACTGAAGCCAGGACCCTGAATTTTAGGAGAGCAAAATTTGAGTTGTTTAAGGAAGTATTTAATGTGAACCCCTGGGAAACTGCCTTCAGGGATAAAGGGGCAGAACAGCATGGGCAGCTTTTTAAGGACATTTTCCTCAGATCACAAGAGCTCTTGGTTCCCATGTCTAAGAAATCAGGCAAGAAAGGCAGGAAGCCAGCATAGCTGAATAAGGATCTCCTAGTCAAGCTGTAGCGTAAGAGAGAAATGAATAAGTGATGGAAGCAGGGACATACATCCTGTGAAAAATATATAGATGATGCCTAGATGTGTAGGCATGAGACCAGGGACGCTCGGATTCAGTTGGACCCGAGTTTTGCAAGGAACAATTCAAGAGGTTTCTACAGATCCATTGGTCAGAAAAGGAAGATTACAAGAAAATGTACAGCAACACACACAAACATGACAAATAAGACGGGAGAACTAGTGACAACTGACGTGAAGAAAACTGAGGTACTTGACATTTTGTTTTGCCTGAGTTTTCCCTGTTTATCACTATTCTTGTAGATCCCAAGTCTCTGAACATAAGACAGGGACTGGGGTAACAAAGTCCCTTCCATAATAGGAGAAAATCAGGTTCCAGACCACCCAAGGAAACTGAACATACACATGTCCATGGGACTTAAAGGGATGCATCCCAAGGTCCTGAGGGAACTGGCAGATGTAGTTGCTAAGCCAGTCTGTGTTGTATTTGAAAAATGTCAGTCACGCAAAGTCCATAGTGAATGCAGAAAAAGGAATATCACACCTATTTTTTAATAAAGGTTAAAAAGGGGGACCCTGAGGACTACCTACCAGTCAGCCTCAGCTTATGATGAGACCATGGAGGGGATCCTCCTGGAAGTTACATAAAAGCATGGACAGTATGTGAAATGCTGGGGTTTGAACCCGAGCCCAGAATTAAGGTTGACATATGGGTGATTCCCACAGCCCTTCATACAGAGGTGGTGAGTTTGCCTGATAGCTTCCCCCCAGGGTGCGGCCGGCCCTGCAGGGAGAGCCATAAGGGAAATGAGCCCCAGGGGTCCCACACCGAGTGAACAAAGGTCAGGTGTCTGCTTGGGGATAAAAGCTGGGACCGGGCTTAAAAGCGGGGCCCACTTGCAGGGAGTCAGGAGTGTCTGCCTGTGAAGTGGATGCACTTCACAGAGCTTCCTGGTTGGGGAAGGACCTCCTGACTGTCCCTGGAACTTGGCCCCGGTCAGCTTGGACCTTTGCAAATGCAGGCTTAGGGGAGAGAGAAATATGTGGTTGCCTTTATCTTATATGATTAACGTGTTGACTTGGTTGTCTTCCATTCCATCTATGGGAGACTTTGGTTCTTTATTTGTTCCATCTATTGTCAGTCATGTGGTATCATTGTTGGGGTCATTGGGGGTGATGTTGATTGCTTGTGAACTAATTGACTTATTTATACTCCCGGTGATCGTTCGTGGAATGACTTTTCTATATTCAATACAGTCAAGTATTGTTTTTTTGCTGGCTGTGTAATGTATGCTAGGCCTAGTAGTTGGCAAAACAATATGAAAGAGATCAGAGTCAGCCAGCATGGCTTCATCAAGGGCAAATCATGCCTAACTGGTCTAGTAACCTTCTATGATGGATCAACTACACCAGTGGACAAGGGAAGAGCTACTGATGTAGTCTACTTTGACTTCCATAGAGTCTTTGATACAGTCTCCCACAACATTCTTCTCTCGCCGCTAAACTGGAGATAGAGGGTTTGGTGGATGAGCAGATAGATAGGTAAGGAATTGGCTGGGTGGTTGTGTGGAGAGAGTCAACAACTCAGTGTCCAAGAGGACAAGTAACAAGAGGTGTCCATACTGGGACCAATACTGTTTAATGTCTTCATCAATGAAACAGGTAGTAAGATTGAGTGCTTTCTTAGCCACTTTGCACATGGCACAAAGATGAGTGGTGTGGCTGATTGATGAGAGACTAGAGACCCCGTGCAGAGGGACCTTGACAGGCCTGGAGGTGTGGACCCCTGTGAACCTTAAGAAATGGCACAAAACTGGATGTAATATTCTGAGTTTGGTCTCACTGGTGTCAAATAGAGGGTAATAATGATTTCTTTCATCCTGCTTGCTGCACCATTGCTATACCTGTAGTCTGAATGACAGCCCCAACATCCAGTGAGTGAGAAGTTGTCTAGACTTACCACAAGATGAGTTTTTTTGAATCTTTCAGTATCTGTTATCTTCTGCGTTGTGTTAATACAGATATTAATGAGTGCGCATTGGATCCTGATATTTGCACGAATGGAATCTGTGAAAACCTACGTGGCAGCTATCGTTGTAACTGTAACAGTGGCTATGAGCCTGATCCTTCTGGAAGGAATTGTGTGGGTAAGTTGCTCAAATTTGATCATTGTTGAATAATTCGTCACTACAAATTGAATTGACAGAATTCAGGTTGCAAGACATCTACTTCTTAAAGATGCAATGAAAAGGCAAAAATATCTCTAATGAAACTGCTTTTCTCAGTCACTGAATAGCTAATATTTCTACTGGTGTGTTTTTCTGTTATTTGGTGAGCAGTGTATTACTCTTTGTGACGTGTAAGCAGGAGATATCATTGCAGGTCAGGAATTAATTTTCTCAAATGCACGGAGCAGTTTGTGTTATATTTTAATGTATAACAATTTGTCAAGGCCACCTAAAATGTTTCCCTTTCAAGACTGTATGTTACTTTGTTCAGGAGCTGAAGGTCACAGTTTTGTGTAATAAAATGTAACAGATGGCTATCATTATCTTAGTGAATGATAACTAGTAGCCCATGTACACCATTTCTGCAGTATGAAATAATGATGTCCTCAGGTTACATAAGTACAGCAGAATAGATTGCTGCATGCTTAGTCCTCTAATTTCTGAAAGCTTCAACTCATGAGGGAAGCAGTGATCCACTCTTAGGATTTCATGAACCTTGTTTGAACAGTGGACTTAAGTGTAACAGCTGTTCTTTTATTCTTCAGAATTTCAGGTCGCCAGTGTAGAGGAATGATTCACTTCAGAAACTTCTAATTGTCGTTTGTAGTTTGGTTTGGTTTTAGACCAGATTGTCGCTCCAGTATCTGGATATATTTTCTGGAAATGTTCAGTAGGAGTACCCCATAGAAGATACCTGTGTTGCAAGTTACACGCTCTACTTGATTTTATTATTCATGTTCGTACATGAAATTCACTATTTTTTTTCTTTTGGAAATTCTCACATCCAAAGAAGTGTATTATACCACAGGTACATTGTACAATAACATTACTTATAGTCCTGCCACAGTCTTGTAAAGTTAAACAGAAAACTGAAGTTTGTTTGCATTAAAAGCTCATGGAAATCTATCTGAAACCATTAGAAAGTCCTGATTATCATTCTACCATTTAAAATACTTATTTTGGGGAGTTACTGCTTTCTGCATTTACTGACTTTTTACTGGTGCTTGTGATCAACAAAACCCCACCATTTTTGGTAGGGAAAACCTGGACTATATAACTGTAGTGTAATTTCAATACCAAACATTCCTACCTAGTGATGCAACACAAACACAAAGTAATAAAAGTGTTTCATTTGCTTCACTTCTTGCACAATTTTGCAGCTAGTTAACTTTCTAAAGGCCCTAAATATGAACTTTTGTTAGGAAAGGCATTGCTGCAGGGGACTATCAGTATTCTTTAAAAATACTTCACATAGTACTCATTTTCTAAGTGGATTTTATGGCAAGGGCTTTTATTTATCTTGTTACACTTGGGATTATGTAGGTGCTAGGGTATGTATATGTCTGTTTAAATATTCAAATAAAAATACAGCATACTGACTGTGGGGAAGAAAATCCAGGCCACCATCCCTGTTG